GTCTGATAAAACTGACTGTGGTGACTCTGGTCTGGTCTCGTCAAACAGGGTTTCCAGACACAAACCAGTATCTTCCCAGTCTGACAGTATTGAATCTGGTGTATACGACCTGTGCCTCAACAATTCCACATCAGGACTGAAATAAGGAGATCTGAATAGAGGAACAGGTGAGTCAGGAGAGAGGGGCCTAAGTTCACATTGAGATACCACTGACTCTGGAGATTGTGGTCTCGACTCATCAATGAAATGGTCTACCGAGAAGAGAGTGAACTCCTTTTCTGGTGACATTGGGGGAAGATAAACAGGCCTAGCCTCAAATGGTTTGACGTTGCACAAATCATGAGCTTGGTTTTCTGGTTTATTGCCCCGCACAACGTCTGCATATGTAAGAGGTCTTCCAATGGACAGTGGTCGGGAAGGTACATTTACACTATTAGTGTCAGCTCGTGAAGTAAGTGCATTTGGTGAATCTGGTGTGTTGTTGTTAAACCATTTGTTGACAGAAGATTTAGAATATTCAATATCTGACAATGTTGAAAGAGATGACACTGGACTACAGTCAGAACACGCCAAGTAATAGTCACAATGTTGATTCTCTATCTTGCCAAATGTAATCTGAGTAGACATAAGATGCTGTTCAATTGACTCGACAGATTCTTTGGAGGACGTTCCTAAACTAGTCAATATTTGTTCCATTGCAGTATCCTGTTTTATTTTATCCAATATCGGTGGTATTTCATTTGCAAAGTTCAGACTGTATTTTGGTCTTTCCACCAAGTTAAAGGTGATCGGTCTGGGTGATGGTTGTTTTCTGAGCATATGGCAATCTTCAGGAGATTGTCTTTCGTATGTGGTTAGAAAGTTTATTTCTGTTGATTCTTTCTGCAAATCTAAACTTATGGACTCTTGCAAGTTATTGTTTTTTAAATCAGTATTTGACTGACCTGGTGATGACGTGTTATCAGAAGATTGTGGTTTCAATTTAGAAAACCAGTAATCAAGAAAAGAATTACTCATCCCCTCTTCTGCTTTGGGGGCTTCAGATGATAGTGGCCGGTCTTCTGTACCATTTGAACATTCTGAATGTTCACTTTTGATACTTGTGACATGTGATTGTGTAAGATATGCTGCAGCTGTTGACAAGGGTGCCCTTTCTTTGAGAGATGATGAAAGAGCATGCCCAGAATATCGGCTATGATCACATTTTGTATCATTGTTCTGTGAGCCTGACAAATGTAGTGGGAGATAACCTCCTGTTGTAAGAGATTCTTGAGACACAGGAGAATTGTGATTTGAAGTTACTAATTCTGCTGTCAAGGGCCTACCCCGACTCACTTTGTCACTGCAGACTGTATTGTGAGGAGATGATGTCAGTTGTGGTGAGGGGAGATTTCCTCCTGAATATTGTAAATAATAATCACAATAGTGACTCATAAGTTGAGCACGAATAGGTTCTGACAGCACAAGTTCAAGAAATGAAAAACTACACCGGGAATTCTGAGACTCTCGTGAAGATGGTCGATGTTCCCTATCAGAAGATTCATATTCATGAATAGAGGTAATTGAGTCAGGTGAAGAGGCTCTTGAATCAGGAGCAACATCTTCAAGCAAAAATTCATCACACTCAATATCTGATGTCCCAGGTGAGGTTGGTCTGACATCTCCCCTTATCTTCACATCTTTAGGTATATCTTCATTATATTTAGGTACTTGGGAATTAGCGGACATTGGCTTATGCTTAACCAAGGACTCAAGGGTAGTGAGGTGATCTTTTGGAACAAATTGTGGGTAATGTTCCTCTTTGTGTGACTGATGGAGGTGTAATTTACTTTCTGTGAAATCAGTGGTAATATCTGGGAAGCTCCATGCATAAGACCTTGGAGACAATCTATGTCTGCTGTCAAAAATACCAGAAAAGTCTTTTGTCTGAGTAGGAGAGTCAGGTGACATTGCCCTATAATCATTAATTGACATGACAGATTCAGGAGATGACAGTCTATTTATGGAGTCATTAAACATCCATGAATCAAATGGCTTCTCTGATGAATCTGAGTCAGGGGTCAAAGGGTTAAACTCTGTGGAAGTGAAAGGTAATGCCACATCTTGCTCAGCTGATTGTGGTGTGAGATTGGGGATGGGCAAAAAAAGGCTGGAAGAGATAATTTTTGACTCAGAAGTGTAAGATATATTTTCTATACCTACGACATGGTCACTATCTGGACTAACAGAACTGGAATTATGGTACCTACCACTTGAGTCACAAACCATCTGAGCTGGGTTACAGGGTGTCAACATGGTCTTTGCGATCTTCATTTTGAATGGTTTCATCAAGCTGTAGTTGGCTGTGGCAATAACAGAATCTGTTGCCTGGACACCATCCTCATCATCGATGAAGGGCATATTTTCTGGATATCTATAACTGTATGCTTGGGGTTTTGTGCTTCCTTTCTTGCTTAACTTGACCTTGACCGACGTGACCTCATTGGACTTCTGAGAGAGCCTGCTTGTTTGAGCTACATAGGTGTCATCTTCAGTCATGGCCAGAGTTGCTTGATGGTCTCCTGGTGGCACTGCTAGATGGCTAGGGTCAGAGATTCTTTTACCAATGGTTTTAGCTGAATCTGGTTCTCCAAGTTGTAATGTGAAGCTTAACTCATTACAAAGCTCACTGAAGTCTGTATCAGCTTGGTCTGACTCTGACAGGCTGAGACCAAAGTCTCTGACAGATATAGATGATGGCAACTTCAGAATTTCAGGCAAATGCCCTTGTTGATCTTCACAACCATACTGCTTCAGTGGTAAGATTTGGCTGCAGTCATCTTTGACTTGGCAGTGAGTGCCACTGACGAAATGAAATTGAACACTGCAGCAACTGTTCTGGTCTTTCACTTTTGGGTCATATGCCTGAATTGCTTGGCTTCCCAATGCTGCATCTTTTGAGAAGGGAAGCGCACTTACTTGCTCATCAGAGTTGTCGTAACATGTAGGTTCGGGTGTAATTACATCCTCAGAGGTCCACAGATTTGGGTTCAATTCTCTGTAACCCAAAAAAAATGCATGGTCACAAAATATGACTTTGCTTAAGTGTGGTAAATCAAAGCCCTAACCCAAAGTGACTGAAGGGCATCACCCACAAATAATAGATATGAGGCAAACACCTGTATCAGAATGTGGCACTGCCACTTGTTACTGGCATACTGGGAAAATACTGACCTCAAGAGAAGCAGCAGTTTTGAGTACTGAGTGTTATGTGAAGTAAGAAAAATGATTGATTCAGGAATCATTGCAACTGAAAGACTTACTGTGGGATTTCAAGCTCGTCCAACAGGTCACCATGGATGCTCTCTGAGTGGGTATGTCCAGCAGGCTCTGCCCAGGAAGGAATATCCAGTAGGGAAGCAACTGAAAGGTCCTCCTCAGAAACAGCTGGGGGTGGTCTGCGATCTGACTCCACCCTTCTCACAACTCTGGGGCTGTCTACATCCTCTTGCACAGAAGATAGGGCAACTGACACTGAAAAACACACATGTGATGAATAGAGTACAAGAAAACACAGAAATGGAGCCACACTTATTGCTGAGTCATTAGAGTTGTCAATACCTTCACTGTGATCCAGTGTCTTCTCGATCTCTGCATAAGTTCTAGATGTTTGCTCTTGAACTGACTTGTTCATCTGGGTTTCAATAAGATGGACTATGTCCATGCGGTTGATCTTGGTTAGCCTCCTAATCAGACAGTCCTCTATGGAAGAATTTATTCATTATTAATAGACTATAGAAAGCATTAAATTAACAAAATATAAAACATTAATGTATGAATACATTGAATCTATGGTATGAATATGGGTCTACTATATGCAAAGATAAATTGATAAATTTAAAACCAAAGAGAAAATACATTGATTGAACAGGATGTGCTCACATAACTGAGAGTGCATCAAAGTAAAAAGCTTATAGTATGGTCATTATCTTCAAACCAACAAGCAATGGTTACAGGATTTGAAGTATTGCATTGACATGTACCACAAGAAGTAAAATGAAATAAATAAAAACGATATGTACCTGTGGCGTGTTTACCTTCCCGCTCAACCCAACACTGCAGCAAGGCATGGCTCTGCTCTTGGAGGGAATTAGGATTGTCTGTTCTCACTAACTGGATATCATCCTCACTAAATTCCAGTTCTCTTGCCAGCTCTGAGGTGATAGATAAGAGAAGTAAGGGGTGGAAGGGTTGAACGTAAAACAATTTATCTTGAATCATACATGTTATGTTTTGCTGCTAAAACATAGTCATACAGGATGTACAATCATCAGCAATTCCCTACGTTCTGCTCCAGAGTTCAATTTAATTTGTATTATTTTTGTTAACATTTTCAAATAAATGCTTCTCTAAATCGAATCAAACATTGATTTAAGATTTAAAACAATAAATCTTTACATTTTAAAAAAAACTTACCAGTCCAACTGAAGCCAAGAAGATCTGCAATGATTGCTAATGTCTCCTCTTTCCTATCAGCATCATCCTGCCAATCCACTAAAAATGCCGCCAAACATAAAATTTAATCATCAGGGTCTACAGTTGAAGGTATAAATTATATTTTATAGTAAAACCTGTTCCACATTATAGGTACCAGCTATGTAAAATATCATTTGAAGTGAAGATGTATATTGTTATCTCCTGAGGGCTCTATGTTATGGGCTGTAATACTGGGTCTGTGATGTTGACATGGATGATAACATAAAAGTTGGATTCTCTGACTCTCTGAGGAGGTAATGACTGGTTTACTATTTTGTTGCAGTTAACACATATTTTTAAATGATTAGTGTAAGCAGTGATTTTAATACGCTGATCAAGCAATGTGCAAGCAAATATTAGTAATGTTGTATTAGTAGTAGAGATACCAATGCATCAAAATAGTTGAAGCTAATACTTTAACCAACATGGCTATTCAATCTTGAGATTGTATATACAAGAACATCACAACCGACACAAACACACGCACACACACACACACACACACACACAATGCTGACAGGAACGCAAAGCAAGGTGGAACAGGACAAATCACAACACATGAAGACAACACAAAATGACTAATGGAAACATTATATTGTTGGGAAGAGGGGTAGGGGTCTTCCAGCCAGGAAGAGATAGGAATGCAAAAGCCCATTAGGTCTGGCCATACCTGGCGTACATTCTGGAGTTTGGTCATCGGTGATTCTCTGCATCTGAGTTTCCACCGTGTCATCCCAGGCAGGCCTAGATTCAAATACATCCTCTGTTCCAGAGGGTGGTTTCACGCATGGCAATGGATTGCCATCAGAATCTAAACTATGTGAGGCTGGGATGTCATATGTGAAGATAACAGAATCTGGGCTCTTGTGACTGGCACTGCTTATATCATCAGTATCCAAAGACGACCTAACAGATGTTGCTATAGTCTTAGAAACTTGGTTTTCTTTTCTTTGGGGAGAGGAAATGACCGGAGGTTTGGACGGTGGAAAGTTGGTTTTAGAAGAGGATTGACTACTGTCAGAATAACGCCTACAGTCTTTATTAATAGTTGTACTTCTGACACTATCAGTCTGAGATCTAGTCCTACGATCCATGGTTGAGATTTTATCTGCTTTTCTTTGAACTTGACCAAGCTCAGACGTCTGTGAGTCTTTGGGCATTATTTCCGATTTGAAATGGGAAGCCTCCTTAATTGTGCTGCTTGGGCTGATTGCAAATGGTGGGGTTGAACCCTGATGATATGGTGGGATGACAGCCTGCACAGCTGAAATGGACATCTCTATGACTGAGCACTGGTCCTCTTCATCTTCCTCCTCCCCCTCGTCATCATCGTTAGAGGAGTCGGAGTTGTGGCTTTGCTCTGAGTATGCTAAATGGACAATTGTGGATGTTTCTGACTGAAGCTCAGCTACAGTGGAGTCTAGATAGTCTAGACCAAAGCTTTCAAGATTTTCAGCCTCACTTTGCACATTGGTTCGTTGCTCCAAAGCATTGGGGGAACCAAGCTGAACCTCAATGGAGCTGCCAAGATTAGCTTCAGAAAGGTGCTTTTCATTCTCTGACGTGGTACTTGAGGGTTTGATGTGGATTCTTGGTCTGGGAGTAGGTATTTTCTCATTGGCATTCTGAGCCAGAGGAGATTTTGGCATCTCTTGAGGGGTTGTGTCGGTACAAGAATTTGTATTTTCTAAAGTTAAAGACTTAATGACTGAATGACCCTCCCCATTCTCCTCTGCCACAACTTCATCAACTGGATGCTCCCCTATATGAAAAAGTGCATATCCATCCCCTTCTTCATCAAAACTTGTCAAATCAATAGCTCCCCCTCTGGTCATTTCGAATAGCTTTCCCTCTTGAAATTGAAATGGATCAGGATCAGTGCTCTCATCAGCTGGAGTCCGAGTAGGTGTTCTGTCCACTGCTGGACAAACATTCATCTGTTTCTCTGCCTTAACCTGTGCAATCAGGGCCACATCAATGTCACCCTGAAACCCAGGGATAACATATGCTTGTTCTTTCATATATACTGTAGTCTCAGGTCTGCTGACAGTATCTAAGCTGTCTGTCAGAGGCAACTCAACTTCATCATCATCTGGATGGCGCTCATCTGTCACACAGCTGGAAAACTGCATGTCATCACCTTCTCTTACATCTTTCTCTTGGTATATTTGTGCTTCTTTTCCTGCCCACAATGGAACATACTCCTCACTGTCTGGATCACGTTCTCTCTCATTTGTAGTTGAAGTCAATGAATCATCATCTGATTGAGAACTTTTCAGTTGTGACTGAATTTCTACCCTCTCCGTAATACTTGAATTAGCATCTGTTGTTTCAATGAGTGTATGAGTGTCCTCTATCACCCATTTTTCTGACCTTTTCTGTGGTGCTTCTTGTGAGAAAGACTGTGTAACTGGGCCAAATTTTAGATTGAGTTCATCGTCTTTGAAATCTCCAGTCTCAGAAAAAGTGTCTCTCTTAAATGTAGACTCCTGTTCCATCTCCTCGAATGTTTTGATCTTTGCAGCCATTTTAAACATCTCCTCCTCTGGGGTGACCTGTTTATGAGTGGTATCATTCTCACTATCATCTGTGTCTTTCCTTGTGAGCATGTGAAGGTTTTCACATATCTTTGGGTCAGAGATGATGTCATCAGTTACTCTCATTGCAGATTGGCAATATTGGTCCTCTTTAATGTCACTTTCCATTTGAATATTTTCGCCATTTTTGTCTTGCTCATCATGCTCACTTTCATTTGTGTCAATATTTTTGTCATAAACAAAACATGCTTTGAGCTGAGAAGCATAATCCTCATACACCGCTGTCTTGACAGGCATCTTAAATTCAGCTTTCTCTGATTTAGTGGGACTTCCCTCAAGAGAATCTGGACAAGGAGATTCTCCAGTAGGGCTTGGCTCAATTGAATCAGGTGATTTTTTAGAAGATCTATCCTCCTCAAGAGGACTGGCTTCTAGTGAATCTCGTTGACATGGCTCATTAGGTGGGTCATTAAAAACCATATTGTTAAGGTTCTCCAAATCACCTGGACGCTGTAGTGTGCAAGAACTACTTGGTAGTAAAAATCTGTCTGTCTTGAAGATTGAATCAGCATCAACTGCACAGACATCTTCATGATCACTGTTACAGGCATCAGCTGTTGCATATGACGTTGTAATTCCCACCATCCCTTCAGTAGTGTCATTAAAATCTGATATTGCACCAAGTGAGATTTTAGCCTCACCCTCCTCAGATGAGAAACTCTTGTGACCTTCATCTTCATGGGGACATGCCTGCCACCCACTTTCAAAAACCTCCTTTTTATTTATGTCCAAAACTTCTAAGTTTGTATCTTCTGGTGAAAAGGTTTCTCTTGTTGTGACTTTTGTTAGTATGATTTGTTTGTAGCTCTCATCGACCAAATCCTCTTCTGGGTGGTATTGTATCACCACTGGTTTTTCCTTGAGATGCTGATCTAAGTCAGTACTGAGCAGTGACAACATCCCTGACATGTCCCTCTCAGCTGCAGGTGGCTGCTGTGCCTTTTTCATAATAGTAACTTCTTGGAATGGTGTCTCTAACACAGAACTTGGTGACAATTCTGAGCCTCTAACCACATCAGTCTGCATGTAGTTATTTGCCTCTTCACCTATTTTATCCTCCAAATTATTACTTGTCAGTATAACTTGTTTGCAGCTCTCGTGGACTAGATGCTCTACTGGATGGCTTTGTATTGCAACTGGCTTTTCCTTGAGATAATGATCTAAGTCAGTACTGAGCAGTGACAACATCCCTGACATGTCCCTCTCAGCTGCAGTTGGCTGCTGTGCCTTTTTCATAATAGTAACTTCTTGGAATGGTGTCTCTAACACAGAACTTGGTGTCAATTCTGAGCCTCCAACCACATCAGTCTGCATGTAGTTATTTGCCTCTTCACTTATTTTATCCTCCAAATTATTACTTGTCAGTATAACTTGTTTGCAGCTCTCATGGACTAGATGCTCTACTGGATGGCTTTGTATTGCAACTGGCTTTTCCTTGAGATACTGATCTAAGTCAGTACTGAGCAGTGACAACATCCCTGACATGTCCCTCTCAGCTGCAGGTGGCTGCTGTGCCTTTTTCGTAATAGTAACTTCTTGGAATGGTGTCTCTAACACAGAACTTGTTGTCAGTTCTTTGACTTCAACTTCATTGGTCTGCGTTACTTGTTCATAGCTCTCATAGACTAGATCGTCATCTGGGTGGCATTGTATTGCCACTGGATTTTCTTCGAGGTAATGACCTAAGTCACTACTAAGATGTGACAACATGCCTGTTATGTTCTTCTCAGTTGTAGACTGCTGGTGATGAGACTTTCCTTGGATGTAAAGCTCTTGGAATGGTGTCTCCAAAACAGGACTTGGTGACAGTTCTTTGACTTCAACCACTTCAGTCTGCAGGTGTTCATTAGCCTCTCCACTTATCCTCTCCTCAAAATTATTACTTGACAGTATAACTTGTTCACAGCTCTCATGGACTAGATCATCATCTGAGTGGCATTGTATTGCCATTGGATTTTCTTCGAGATAATGATCTAAGTCATCACTGAGAAGTGAGAACATGCCTGACACGTTCTTCTCAGTTGTAGACTGTTGTCGGTGAGTCTTTCTCTGGATACAAACTTCTGCGACAGGTGTCTCCAAAACAGAATTTGGTTCCAGTTCCTCCACTACAACCACATTAGTCGGCCGGTGTTCTTTTGACTCTCCATCAATTTTATCCTCCAAGTTATTACTTGCTTCAACTGTTATTGTTTGCTGCTCATTTGTGGGATCGTTGGAATGTTGGATCTTAGTGAGAATGACTTCTTCAAATCTCTCCTGGACAACATCCTCCTCTGGAGATCTGTTTTTCATGGGCCTGACCTTGAGAAACAGGTCCATGTCACTGTTAAGCAGTGATAGCATGCCTGACATATCCTTGACTTTTGTAGATGGTTGATATGAAGTCTTTTTCTCTACCCACTCTTCCTTCATTGAATGTTCTTCAGTCAAGGTTGGTTGGGTTTCATCAACTCCCCTAGTAATTGAAAGTTCTTCTATTGTTGCATGATCTATTTCTTGCAAGGTTCCACCCATTATTGCTCCTTTTTTTTCATCAGTAATACATGTGAGGATTTCTTTATCTTTGTCCTTTGTTAAAATGATTTGTTCAAATTTATCTTGAACAACATCTTCATCTGATGGCTGTCGTACCACAGGCTTTGCTCGTAGACACTGATCCAAATCACAGCTCATTAAAGATATAATCCCTGACATATCTTTTGCTCCAGTGGATGTCTGATTAGATGTTTTCTTCTCAATGTGGACTTCTTTAAGTTTTGCCTCCAGTGAAGGTAAGAAGCACTTTTCTTCTATTCCAGCAGAGTAAGTATGCATTTCCTTGTTCCTTTGATGGCTCATTGTGGGTCCTTCATAATTTTCGCTCTCTCCTGAGCTGGAACGAGGGGTCCTAATACCAACACTAGTGTCAGAGGTTTCAGCCATGCCTTCATGTTTGGGACTGTCTGGACTTATTTCATCATCATTCTTTTGATTCTCAAAAAGATAATCATCTTTCCCAAAATAATCCTTTACAGAGGGAATCGATATGGATGCAGGATGTGTATTAGAATCATCAACCAGGGTCTCCTCAGGTTCGTCCAACTTATTGCTAATATCTGCAGTTGTTGATGTTTGCTTGAATAGCTGGTACTCTGGACTTTCTTCCAGCTCAGCCTTTATGTCGGCACTAAAATCCTCAGAAGGTCTACGATCAGGGCTGATTTGCATGTCTTCAGATAAACTCCTACCAGTGCTTATGACTGGCTCTTCTAAGTGCATCCTGTCATGGCTCTTCCCTGAGAACTCTTGTTCCTTGCTTTGAGGGCTTACACTTCCATCATCAAATTGAATTGTATCAGCATTTTTTGCTGTCTCGCCAAAATAAGTAGTACCTGAAAATAGTTCCCCAGAGGCATCTCTTTTTAGGTGTACTTTTTGAGGTTCTACATCCAATGTTCCACATATTTTGGCATCACTCTCAGGATGGTTTATAGCATGATTATGTATTTGTGTTTGTAATGTTGGCTCCTTTGTAGGGCTGAGTTTGATCCATTCTTTTTGTTCAGGATCTACAGATTCAGATATGGTTGTTGAAATACAAGAAGACGCCACTGCTTTGTGTTCCAATAGCCCAGTTTTCCCTTTTAAAGAGTCCTGTTCAGCTTGGAATGCTTTCATCCTCTCCTTCACAGAGATAGTCTCTTTCTCTGAAAACTTTGGCGTCACTATCTGTGGGATAACCCTTCCATCGTCACATTGAACTGTATCAGCAAATGTTACCGTCTTAACAGAAGGAGCAACATCTGAATTCAAAGGCATTTTCACAGACACATGTGTTGGTAGATCTTCCAAGTCTGTCTCGCTATGTATGTTGACATCGCTTTGTGAATGGAAAATTGTAAGGCTCTGAGCTTGATTTTTTGATTTTGGTGCTTGTGTGGGACTTTGTTTAAACATCTGTACCTCTTCAGAATCTTCTGATTGAGACATAAATGTTGAAATATCAGAAGCTATAGCTTTGTGTTCAAAAAGCCCCACTTTAGTTTTTGATGGATCTTGCCCGGACTGGAACGTTTTCATTAGCTCCTTCACAGACATAGCCTCTATTTCTGACAACTCTGCTGTCTCTCTATGTAGGCTAACTCTTCCGTCTTCACATTGAAGTGTATCAACAGATTTTACTGTCTTTCCAAAACTATTACTATCGGACCTTAACTCTGTATCCTCAGAGTTATCCCTAACTAAGATTACTGGTTCATCTTTTTTGTCACATTTCTTGACATCGCTTCCTTGATGGAAAATTGTGGGGCTCTGATGTTGGATTTGTGATTGTGGCTCCTGAGGAGGATGTTGAAATGTAACATTAGAAGCCACAGCTCTGTGTTCAAATAGCCCAGATTTACTTTTTGAAGGGTCCTGCCCAGTTTGGAATGCTTTCATTAGCTCCTTGACAGACATAGTCTCCTCCAATCTTTCTGTTTGAGATCGGGGAGATTTAGGGGATTTGGGAACTCGTGGAAGCTCTGGAAAGTCTGCCTCCATCTTCTTTGTGGTAATGGATGATTTGTCTCCATGTGGTAGAACTTGAGTACTTTTTTGCACCTCATCCTCTTCAACTTTGTTCTGCAATGCTTTCACTCTCTCTTTTATAGATCCTATAGATGTTTCCACCACTAAAGGAGAAGCTGGAGGTTCCATAACTGGGGTTGGTACAAGGCCACTCTCTTTAAGAACAACATCACCATCTAAAGACTCCTCTGAGCTCATCCTTTCCAGCTCACCCTCAGAACGTTCCCTGTCTCTGAGTTTCTTCCTAATAGGTTTCTTGATATCTGGAGGACGCTGTTTGCCATCACGCTTGACAACAACCTGTTCAAATCTATCTTGGACATGTTCCTCTTGAGAACTACTCGTCACTACAGGTCTCTGTTCAAAGTATTCTTCCATGTCCATGTTAAGGTGTGAAATCATGCCTGACATGTCTCTCACCTCTGTGGTAGATCCACTTTCCTTCTCAATACAAATCTCTTGTATGACTTGTTCTTCGACAAATGAAATACTTGTGTCAGCCTTAGTCTCACAGAGTGAACCCCATTGATCTTTTTTACCATCACCACCTTGTACTTCCTTTCGAGTGTTATGTAGTCCATCTCTTTGAGTCTCTGCAACCTTTTCCAGTCTGACTTTGAAATGTTCCACTACTGCAAAATGCTCATATGCTCCAGCGTCAATCCCCTCTTCATTAATTTGCTCTGCAGTCAGAATGGCACACAATTTAATGTCTGACATGTCTGAGAGAAGGTCTGGGCTTGCAAGGGTTGCTGGGTCAAGAGGTTGGTTAGTTCTCAGGGAGAATGTCTCAGTTGATTCAGATTCATCGTCTTCATTTTAAAAAATTATAACCAAAAAGGGTAAAGAACATAAGGGACAAATGAGGTGGGGAAGAGAGACATCAGAAAACTTTGATCAAGACAATGCCATCAAAAATCCATCTTCAGTTCACAGAGCAAGTAGAAGAGTGACAGGGCAGAGGATAAAGGAGTCTTGAAAGGAAGACCAAAAAGATGACCAAGGGATCCAGAAGATTTAAAAGGGAAGAAGACCAGCAACAGCACAAGCAAAGCCAGGCGGAGTAACAAAAGAGGTAAAATGTGGGAAAGAATAATGATTTTCTGATTTGTTTGACTACATATTGAGAAATTTAAAGGTTATATATACGATATTCACTGTCCCTATATGTCGCAATAATCAGCATCTCACACCACAACTAATGCCTTGTTGGCCAAACAATGGACAAAACTATCCCCTCTCTTCATGTTCACTGTCTATACACGAACGCACGCCTGAACTGGCAACCAAAACAAAGAACTGAAAACTTGCTTTCCAACAGAGAGAGTGTGACTACTCCACAAGAAATTAGTTGTTGGCAACAATATCAATGTTCAAACCCCGTATATATAACCTTTAACAAAGGAAACACAAAGAACAAGAAGGGAACAGAAAGTCTAACGGAACAAATGGACAGGAAGAAAACATAACAGACAAACGAAAATTCTCAAGATTGTTGTTGACATGAAGAGTCATGTCCGCCCAGAAATTAAAAAATTTCAAACAAAGAATAATATATATAAAAAATACATTTTGAATACAAAAATTAACATGGTTAGTCAGCAAGAAGAGATGTAAGGTAATTGTTAATGGATTCTTTGGGACTATTTAATTAAAGTTTAGCAAATTCGTTTTTTCTACTACTTTTCTACTTTGAAAAATGTAATCATATCTTATAATAAGCAGTAAGTCCCCTAATAACTAGAAAAGACGAAGTGTTGTCAAATTGTTTAAAATTGTCAAGTCAGTGAGTGAATGAATGAAAGCAAAAAATGTGTTGGTAAATGAAGAAGACACATTGACATGATGTACACACTTAAGCAAAAGAACAGATAACATAAAGTTCTTTGTCACATGTTTCAGTATTAAAATGTTATATAGCATGCCACTAGTAAACCTGTTGTGAAATGTAATGTGAGTGAATGATAATTGCCCAAATGAAAATGTCTTATATATTATTACAACATAGTAAAACCCCTTCAAGATAAAATGAAAACAAAAATTCCCCAAAATAAAAGCAATTTTCAGTGGAAATGAATAAAAAGTATTAGTTTTACCTCTGTTTATAATTTATAAAAGATGAAGAAGGTCATGGCAAATACAGAAAATTAAAATGGGTGGGAGAAAGTGGGGTTTGGAGTAAGGGAATGAGGAGTACATCAGCCATAGCATAGCTGCCAGTAACGAACATGTAACCATACACAGCGTTAGTAGAGCAAAATCAAAAGGCAGGGTTATTCCAAAGAGGAAGTAAAACACACTAATCAGTGCATTTCCTCGCACATAACGAATTTCATATTTCGGCACTTTACAACCTTTATGATAAGTTCTGTATATGGGAACTGCACACTATGTAATTGCAATATAATACACTCATATACAATGTCTCAAATGCATGAACCTATGTTATACGATCATTATATCTATCACTCAAAATGTTGTTTGTTCTATTCAAATATTTCAAGATAAAGTCCAGCTTACATTTCTTCTCACTCTTTTCACTCTGCAGAAAAAAGATAAAAAGGGGTAAAGTTAGCTGCAACCTAATAATGATATTATTGTTTTTTTGTTGTGCTACTTAAAGTAAACTTATATAAAGTAATCATTATTTACCTCATCATCCGCATCTTGGTCTGAGTCAGACTCCTAAAGGGAAGAATGCAATAGAGGGAGTTACTGCATAATAAATCACAGTTATACTAGATACAGAAAGTGAATTCTGTTCATAGGAACCTTTGAGTAAGTTGGGAGGGTGATGTTCAGGTTGCAGATAGCGTTGTGGTTCAGAGTACGGTACGTCCTTGGGTCCTTTGTAAACGAAAGACGACCACACGGCTCCTGAGCTGTGTCTCTAATCTGGACGTTAAGGAAACAACAATTCATTTCTTTATATATATTTGACTTCTGAGCCTCTGAGTAAATCTTTCATATTTTCAGACATATATTCATACTTTGATGAAGAGTGCCAATCTGTTCTCCTTGAAGGCAAAAAAGCTGAACACGTGGTGCTGTCCACTCTTGGTAAGAGGCACCAGATTTCCAAAGCAGTCGGCGAATATGGGTTTTCCCTCCAGCACCTGTGTGTGGATTGACAGTTGTTTTCACGATTCAAACAAACCTTTTCCAAACAGCATTGTTTGAGTAAATACAACATTTGATTTTGAAGGACATGAGGCTGTGGCCATGTTAACCTGAACCTCAGTGTTACAAATGGTTATTTCTTTCACACCTCTGCACTATCGCTACAGGCATATTCAGCATTACTCCTCTCACTTCTCCTCTATCCCCTTTTCGATGATCCCTTTCTCACTCATCTGTCCCCACCATCACACCGCACCTCAACATCTCGGCTACGGGCAACTTCAGTGAAGTTCTCCTGCTGCTCCAGGGTTTTGTCCATCTTGTCGTCTGTCATGCAGAAACACCGCAGCCGGGCCTCGATGGGGTCCAGTGTTTTGGCGAAAATGACAAACTTGGCCATGTATGGAACACAGATGATCTCTCTGTACAGCTGAGAGGCAAAACTAACAGACTCCTGGATCTGTCGGCAGTCTATCAGCCAGAACCTGTAGGAATATGAATATTGATCAATGTTAACATATAGTTTCACAGTATGCTAGGTACTCGTGGTTTGATTTTAAACAACCTAAATGAAAGAAAGTGTTCAACTTCTGCGTGAGAGACAAATGACCTGGGAAGTATTTACCTGGCTGACACATTTGTGGTAAAGGAAACACATTGGTTGACAAAGGTAAGAGGTGTGGAGCCGGTGATGTCCTCCCATTGGGCAGGAGTGGTTCCACCTGAAACACAAAAACGTGAGTTTTACCCGACAGGTCTACTTATTAATTAGGTTGTATTTCTAGAAAGGATTATTTATGACAGGATCTGTCTTTGCCTAAAAATGATGAAAAGCCCAAAAAACACAACCAAACACAAACAGGAATAAGACGTCACATCAGATGACTTTAAATTACATATATTTTTACATTATTTGCTCATGGGATGATGTATTATTCCCCATACTTACCAGTAATACTGCAAAGCAAGCGTAAAGTTGGGGTCTCCCCACTGTATGCTGAGCTTGGCTCGTCAGCGTTGGAGCTCTTGGGAATCGGTATCGTCATGGTGATTGGTTTGTGGAACTTCCTCCGTCTTGGCTCCAGTGTCACAATTGGGCTAAATGTGGCTTTGTTACCAAGAATCTTTCTCACCACATCCACATCAATGGGCTGAGCCTAAAACAAGGTACAAAAGCCATATTCCTTGAATATTTAATGTTCCACTAATATGTGTCTGGCCAATGAATGCACTGTATGTACCTGTAGCCCAACTCTGATCTTCTTGGTGAGGGCTCCCTCAGGAAAAACAGCTTGGACCTGAGGCACAAGAGTGCTGCTAAGGACCCCACCCTCTGGTCCAATCAAATGACTGTCTTGCTTTATCCGTGAGACCACCGCAAAGTACTGCGGGAAATCTCGGGTCATGATGCGGCATATTCTTTTCTTCTCAAGCTCCTCGGGAGAATCAAGTTCTGCAACAATCAGAAATATGAAGTATGAATACCCTGAGTGACGTTTCTGTGCTGTAGTGTTTTGATGTATTGTTTGAATCAGAAATGCCTATCAACAACTACATCACTATCCAGTTAAGATCCCTTACTTTCATCCATGCCATTAAGTATCTGGTTCAGTTCTTCTTCAGTGAAGTCACAGTGGTGTTCCCTCCAGCTCTCCCCGGTCTCACTTCGCAAGATCACCAACTCTCTCTCTGTGCCTCGCAGAGCCGCAAAATGGGGAATCTCCACAATCACAGGCCTAAAGGGGGCGACAAAGTACAGTCAAACACAAACGCCACTCACAAGAACATGGTAAGTTTGGGTGTTTTTAAGTGATAATATGATGCTTTGGTTGATTAAATCATGACCCCATTCAAAAATAAAGAAAAAAAACAAAACAAAAATTTAAATTTGAGTTTAAAAAACATCAGGTGAACTTCATGCCAAGTAAAACAAACATATTAATTGAAAAGTAAATTGTGAAATGTTTCATCACAAAGAAAATATCCACTGCACAACAGCAACATAATCCAACTAGAAACAAGCCTGGACACTAAGGACACAATGGACATGACTCAAAAACATAAGGCAACAGATCAAGTGATTTGAGACTAAACCTTGCACATTTACACTGCTAAGAAAGAAAGAAGTGAGGTAACAAAGCGAAAAGTTAAATAAAATTTAAATAAATGATATGTTCTAAGGTGGACACAGTGGAAAATATGTGGGAGAGGATGTGAGCAGGATTCCAGACTGGTAGGGTCTTCCCCACCCATGGTCCTACCCGAGGAACTTGGTTCCTGGAGGACCCAGCTGCAGAATGCGACTGACCAGGCTCTCGCCCTCATTCAAAGGGGGCGGAGCTGTGGGCAGGTGGAGCTTACTGATCCGTACGCAGCACAGAGAGGGAGTCGAGAAGAAATTATGAACACACCACATTAAGTGTGGAAACACACTAACAACAAGCAAATGCACATACACGGGGTACAAAGTACACACAAAACACACACTTACCCCAAGAACTGGGCTCCAGTGGGCCCTACTTCTATGATGCGCCCAGCCAGCCCCTCACCCTCCACCATAGGGGGCATAGATGCCAGGCGGTGTCTCTTCACTAGCCTGCATGTCACCCGTGTAGGTGCAGAACACTTCCTCGGTGGTACGATGATTCTCAGGCCATTGTGACGGCAGCCGCGCATGGCCCCGCCCCTGGCATCAACCATGAAGCTGACCAGGAAGCTACAGAAAAAAGAGCCCCAGCAATGGATGAAGTGTTTGTCAAAGACTCAAATCTCGAAAGTTCAATGCAGAAAAGGCAACCGAAACAAAAATGGGGGACATTTATGATTATCAGTCAGTAGTAATACAACAACAAGCAGGTTTCAGTAGATCATATTTCATTCCAGCCTCTTATAGTTCATTATTTCAATAATGTTTCAGTTTCATTCCACTTGAAATTCAACTTGCAAGACAGGCAAGCAAAGAGGGGAGCACTGAACACAATTCTTTATCGAGGGTCTTATGTGTCAAGGAGCAAATACATCTATGAATAATGATTCAAACATTAGATGTCTTCAAGCAGATGGTCACATAGTTCCATATGAAATGTTAACACATGTTAACACATGTTAACTTGAGGAGGACCACAGTCAAACCACAGCAAGACCAAAATGAGCCGATCAGGACATGGAGCCAAGTGGTATCAGATTTAAGAAAAGCTATGTTTGTATTATATATATCAAATCCCATTAAAAACACAGAAAAATAAATTGAGCAGACTGACAACTGTTATCTGTGTAGACAAATCCTGTATTGGTGTCATAAAGCAGGTTCACACTAGCCTAGTGTAGTCTGATTGAATCAAACCCAGGAGCATTTACAACTATGGTGTGGTTTGTTTGCGTGGTGTGAACATCTGACTCAAACCAAATATCTGCACTCAACCGCCAAGAGGAACATGTACCAACTCATGGTTGTCTGCCCTGGACAGCCACAGTTACTCGGCTGATGTAGGCCAATTATTAAATTATCTAATACCTGCTGTCTAATCAGATGTTCCTATGCACGGTCCTCTCATGTTTGATTATATCTCCAGATCAACTCCGGCATAAACACAAACTGACGGTGCTCCATGATGCACCATGTTCAGGTAGAAATTGAGGAGGGATTGTTGTATTTTTCAATGACCAATAATAGAGCGACATTTCCATCACATGGCTTTTGTTTACACTGTCTGGGCCGTTTGAGTTTTGCCTTTGTGAACGTGAACCGGTTCATTTTCCACAAGTTGGAAAATTGAAACAATGTATCATTCTCAAACTAATTCGATCAGGAACCAGATTTTTTGGTGTGAACCTGCCCATAGACTTCCATTATGTCCAACACACTGTTGCACTAGGTGATTTTTAACTTTGTTGTACTAAACACGAACACTGCAGTTTATTATGAGTCAGTCCCATGATTTAATCCACTGCTGAAAACAGTCTCCAACAATGTAATATTGCTAAAAACAACAGTGCCCAGAGTCTGTTTTATTCACTTTTGAATACTTAACCAGTTTAAAAAATATATTGTCATGGTCTTGTAGTTTGGAGGAGTTTGGAATGTACTCAGAGACGTTACCAGATTATTACTTAAGAACTTCTCATGGGATTTGATGACAATGAGTAACATAAAGAATAATGCCAGCCTTATTCTTAAAGGACTATCAAATTCAGATCCAGCTGTTAGAAATCACAAACTGTGTGATGTTAATACCCATATTTTAGATATAACATGATAAATGGCATCTTGGTTCTATGTATCAGCAGATCCTCAATCAAAGAAGTCAGATCTGCATCAGAGACAAAGACATTTGGATTGGAACATCTCTAGTTTACAAAACTTGTGTCCCCGAAATGATAAGTCGTGCATTATGAAATCATGCAGGCAGACATGATGAGAACGAGGCGGTCGTTGAGTGGATGAGGAAAAAGTAAAGGCAGAGAGGAGAAAAACTGAGAGAGTAGCCAAAATTCACCTGCTGTTGTCATGGTCTAGGCACGGAGAGGAACGGCTAGAAGCAGATACAAAACAGACACACCCACACACGCACACACAACCACAAAAACAGCCAAGACGAGACGGTGCACAGAGAGACAAAAAAATGTATAAAGTGAATAAAGAAGAATCAGGATGAGAAAAGTGACAGAAAAAGACACAGAAGCAAAGATCAGAGAAAGAAGGAAGATAGAAAACACAAATAACGTGAGGAGAAATTAAAATTGATTCACATGTGATTCATACACTGCTGACAATGAACAGTGGCGTGCAGAAGATGGAGTGAGAGTGTGAGAGAGAGAGAGAGAGAAAGAGAAAGGGAGAGAGAGAAAGATAGAGTTGTATACCCTGAGTGTAACAGACTGGAGGACAGCACCACATTATCAAGGTGCTCAGCTCCCCAGCTCAGCCGGAATGATTCCTTGTCTTCTCTCGATAATGCTGACACCTACAGACCAACAAAATCCTTCATTTATCATTCAGGAAATAAATATCTACATATTCTAAACTGAGGATGTGTTTTATCCTCACCTGGTGGCTGGTAAGCATGTCTTCAATGAGAACTCCTTCTCTCTGATGGAAACTTTGGTGAATGGGAGTGTGCTGCTGCCTGTTGGAAAAGCCAAAGGTTCAATGCCTGTGAACATATTTTTTGGTTTGTATCTTGAGATATGTCATCATTTAACATGTCATTTATGAGGTTCGATGTATGATTAGACTTAGTTTGAGTGTGAGGATCGTGACCTGTCCAGGTTGTGGCTCATGTAGCTGAAGCTGTCCAGGTAATGTCCTGGAAGAGAGTCATCTCCCAGCTCCCTGAGATCCTCTGCTCTCAGATACTCCCCACCGTCCCCTGTCATGGTGTCCTCACCTGGGAGACAAACGTGTGACATTTGAGATATTTTAGGAATAAAAACATGGAAGCGGTTTTTCGTCATAAATGTGTCCACAGTGCTACTGCTCCTCCTTTTTAACTCCACCCAGAACCACCTGAGAACTTTGAGTCGTGCAGGGTTAGTTGACGTTGTCTCATCACGTTGATGAGGCTGCCATTGCTACAAAGCACTGGTCGCCTATTTACTCATATTTTATTAATATTGAATCTATCAGCTGTTCAGATTGCACCAAATTCAACACTGCACTTCCCTGGGCCCTGAACATTACACGTCAGGTATGAAGCCGATAAAAAGAACAGTTCTGGAGATATGAGAGCCACATAGAGAGATTTCTGGAACTAGTAGATCGATGAGATACATTTGTCTTTGCACATTTTGTGGTGTTTCACACATCAGAACAAATACCACGAACCACGAACAGGTGCAAGCATAGCATTACAACAGTGCATTTCCCTTTCCACATAACCGTCATGATTATATTCACATCCTCACACACTTTGTGCTGTTAGTCTCAACCAATTCATTAAAACACAACCAACAACACTCTTATTACCTCCATAAACATAAAAGTGTGATTAAGGTTTGTTCGTGTAAAATCAGGTATGTAAATGTAAAAAACGTATTCTGTGATTCTCTGGGAGCAGATGATCCAGCGAGAGTAAAAGGCTGAAGACAAAAATCTATGGTTTCATTTAATTTGGAACACACTTTGGAACTTTGATAAGACAACATGAATGAAAATGAACTTTATTATTATTTCTATTGTTGTAGTTACTGCACACTATCAACACAATCATACCGATTAGCTACGAGAACACAAACCCACACCAAGCAGGCATAGCAGAGCAGGGCATTTTGCGATACCTTCCAGTTCCACAGACATCTCAAATAATGGCTCGTCCTCCTGCCTCAGAGCTATGAAACACACAACTTTAAGAACCACAGCTTTGATATCATCTATTTCTTGCTTTTTCTGTTAGGAGTAACTCACCCTCTTCATCAGACACATCAAGGATCTCCGTCATGGTCTCAGGGACGTTGAGCTTGTGTTTCTCAGTGACCGTCTTGTGTGACACCCATTTTCAAAGTCACGGAAAAAACATGAAGAGAAAAGATTTAACTTAGCCTTGTGGGAAATGTAAAGCAAAACTAAGTGATCCAATGTCTGCAGCCTAAAGGTATCACACACACGTAGTTTACCGTTGTGGTGGTGATGATCTCCTCAGAGACAACTTTCAGTGTGTCCACCACTGAGATGTAACCCAGACGTCGAGCAATCGACAGAGCAGTGTTTCCATTCTGTGAGAAAGAGGGGCACAGAGTTTGGCCAGAAGAATTAGATTCCATAATCACAACAGTTTACATGTTCATGAGAGTGAAGTGGATTTTTTTTTCTTACCACTGTAGTAGAATTGGGTTTGGCCCCATGTTGCAGCAACACGTTGATTATGTGTGTGTTTCCTTGTTGTGCAGCCTGGTGAAGTGGTGTGTAACCGTTCTGTAGAGCAAATGAACAAGGTTTTTAGGGTCAATATGATTTTGATTGTATGATGTCTCATTGTTGACTGAGCAGAGTTTTTATGCTTCAGATTCAACATTTGAAGTCTACCTTGGTTTTGGCATTGACGCCGGCTCCTTGCTGTAATAGGAAGTTCACCATCTTGGCATTTCCATAGTGACAAGCCACAATCAGAGGGGTATATCCGAGCTGAAGTGTGGAGGATGATGCAGAGATATAAAATGTTATTTACACATTTCCTTGAATTGTTATGATCCAACAAATAAATAATAAACTGGCATAGATACCAAACCACCTGAATGCTGTGGACATATGATGCTTAAAAAAGCCAGTAGGTGGCAGATATGCTACATTTCTATGAGTGCCACGATTCTCTAATAACTCAACTTAGAAATAAATAAATCCCTTAACTACATTTGAGTCGGCTCAAGTCTCGTTTTTGACCGACTGTGTTAGTGTGTATTTGCATGTGTGTGTATGTTTGCACCTTAGTTTGCTGATCCAGGTTTGCATCATGTTTGGCCAGAACTTCTGCAGCATTGACTCTGTCCTCCTGGGCTGTGAGATGCAGAGCAGTCAGTCCACTCTGTAACACAGGAAGCACAAAGTTGTCCACCATTGTTTTTTGTGAGAACTAATGATGTCCCTTGCACCCACAGAGGATCTTAACAAAATAAGTGTGTGACAATATTGAATTGTGTCTTTGTTCATGTGTGACCTTGGTGCCTGTGTTGACGTGGGCTCCTTTCCCCAGCAGCAGACTGGCCATCTCAGCGTGTCCTTCCTGGGCTGCCAGGTGTAGAGGGCTGACTCCCTGCTTGGTCAGAACGTTGGTCTCCGCTCCATACTGCAGCAGTGCTAATGCGATATTCTTCTGGTTCTTTTTGGCTGCGATGTGGAGAGGAGTGTAGCCATTCTGGACAGGGAGGATGGTTAGCAGTTAAATACTGTGATACCACAGAACTAAAAACAAAACCAAAGATGCTGCATTCACAGGACCAAACACATGTTTTGCAAGGTCACAGTGACCTTTGACCTTCGACCACTCAAATTTAATCAGGTCCTCTTTGAGTCCAACTGAATGTTAGTACCAAATTTGAAGACAAGGCATTCTTGATATATCATGGTCACAAGAATGGGACGGACGAATGGACAACCTGAAAACAACACCAACAGCAGGGAGGTATAACAAAGGTTGTTAGCATCACTCCCTTATCATCATGCCTCCACTACTGTAACATAATAGAATTTTCCCAGTAGTGAATATGTTAAGGGACGTCAAAGGAAAGAGTTTATCAATTAGTAAACTGTGTCTGTATCACTTCTAATGTCAGCCTGACCTTTGCAGTAACATGAGGTGAAGCCCCTTTATCCAGCAGCAGCAGAGCTACATCCTGGTTGTCGTAATGAGCTGCCACATGTAGCGGAGTCAGGCCATTCTGTAAGAGGAAGCATGTGATTACAAAACTGTGATAGAACAAAGTGCTTTTATGATTTGAAAACAGTTCTATTCTTCTCTGTAATTAGTCTTTTTGAGGAGGAACACATGAATTCTAGTCAGAGACTGAAAGATTAAGTGAACTATGTGTCTCAGTGAAATTAAAAGCATCACCACCTTGCCAGCATCGTCGAGAAGAGCTTTGCGCTGAAGTAGAAGTTTTGCTACGTCGAGGCTTCCATATTTAGCTGCTACATGTAAAGGAGTGAATCCTTTCTGCAGAGGGAAACAGGAGAGTGTTCACGTTCAGCTGGATAATGAAATGAACATGCATCCACTTGTGTGATCCGTCAATGTTTCTCTGTCTCTATCTGTGTGCATCACAGCCTACAGTATCCTCTGCTCACCTTAGTGGCCATTGAGTGCGAGGCTCCGGCCTCCAGCAGCACGGCAGCGGTCTCCACCTGCCCCTCCCTGGCTGAAATGTGGAGTGGAGTGTACCCGTTGGTCGTGGCAGCATCAGGGTGGGCCATGTGCTGAAGCAGCAACTGGACTATGTCTGTTTTCCCCAAACGGGATGCGATGTGGAGCGGAGTCTGGTCCTCCTGTGGTTGAAGGACAAAATTATCATCCAGAGGTTCAGGGATTAGAAAAACACAGACATAGACATATGCGTCAGAGGCATGAAATATGCTCATTCATTATCAACAGAAGGAGACTCTGGTGACGCCGCTGCTGACTCACCCTGGCCATGGCATCCACCAACGCTCCATTTCTCAGCAAACAGCGAACCACTTCCATTTGACCTGCTCGTGCTGCCATGTGAAGAGCTGTCTCACCACGCTGATGAGCACAGACAGAACATTTAGCGGGCGCACTGAGAAAACGGACACTTGAAAAGCATTTGCTTACTTATAAAAGAAATTCTCTGATTCCTACTCACAATGTTACGGACGTCAGGGGAGGCTCCGTTCTGCAGCAGAAGCAGAACAATGTTGAGGTGACCCATGAAGGCAGAAACATGGATTGGAGTCAGACCAGACTGGAATGAGAAAAAGAGACAAAGATACAGAAACAGAGAAGATGAGCATTTAAAGCAAAGGGGAATGTAATAGTGTGGTATACTGACAGATGCTGTCCTGAGTCTTTCCCACAAACCTCAGTAATGGCCTGGATGGAGGCGCCATATTTGACCAACAGTTCCATCACCTTCACCCTGTTCTTCTTGCAGGCAATGTGGAGCGGGGTGAAACCATTCTGTCAGAGAGAGTGAGAGAGTGTTCATTTTTAATCTCAAGGAAGATGTGTAGAGGATTATGCAAAAACGACTGAATGTATTTCCACAAAACCTGCTGGAAGGATGGGCCATGAAAAATTTGGGATGGATCTGGACCTTTTCATCAATTTCTCTGGGAATGATCCATGACATATTTATCCACTTTTTTCTCATTAGTGTGTTTTCAATGTTGTGAATCAATGTTATGTTATTTGGATTGTCATCAACCTGTCATTCTTCCTCAATGGAGATTATGATTTCATGATCTGCATTGTTTTCTTGGCCTTGTTATAAGGCTTGACTGGGTTTAAGGGGACTGTGGGGCCTCTGTGCCATTTTAGCTTCACAAGCACTCTTATGTACTATTTTTATATTGGTGAGTAATTGCAAAATGTATGTGACCATTACTTTTTCTACTGGTGACAAAATTCCTCCAGTCTTTCAGAAAAAAATCCTACTCTCATTAAGCAGTTCACCTCTCAGTCTTATGTGGTCAATACATTTACTGATACCATATATGAACCTGTGTCCATGTTCAGCCTCTGTATGTTTGTCACTCTTGTCTGCATGTGTGTCTATTGATGAGTGTTTATTTTTGTGCTTGTGCAGTTGTTATTTTATGTGTATACCTACCAGGGCTCTGGCATTGGGATTGGCCTTCTTGTCCAGCAGCAGCTTGGTGACTCTGTAGTGGCCACAGTGAGCTGCGACATGCAGCGCTGTGAGGTAGTCCAGGGTGACATCATCAACAGGCGCCTTATCCTGCAGCAGGAGTTTAACACACTCGACGTGGTCTCCCTGGGCCGACATGTGCAGCGGGGACAGTCCGTTCTGTGTGGAAGTGTCAGACACATGGATAGAGGCCATAGGTGGTCAGTAAAAAACACAAAGAAGTAACAAGTGGTATTTATGCAAAACACAGGTACAATGTATTTAGTGAACTTTTTTTTTTTACATAAATGTTACCCTGAAGCCAAATTGAAGACACATTTATTTAATTTTAGGAATCATTCTGGAGTAGAGTAGGTCAGTACTGTCACAGCCGTTCAGTACCTTGGTTCTAGCTAAGATCGGTGCTCCTTTCTCAAGCAAGAGCTCCACTGCAGGGTCATGTCCACTCCTGGCTGCACAGTGCAGGGGGGTCAGTCCATCCTGCACAACAATTAGACACAAACACATGAATGTACACAAAATATAGATATTAATCCAGTTTGGGTTTTTTGACAAACTAAATAATTGACATGTAGTAAGTATACAAGAGGATAGTTACACAATTATCGCAATTTAATGACAACTAATGTCCAGATTTTAAATAAGTCTCACCCTGGTTTTAGCGTCTATTTGACCCCCTCTGTCCAACAGCAGGGCCACCATGTTGGTGTTACCTCTCTTGGAGGACACATGGAGCGGAGTTATCCCATTCTGAAAAACAATGAAGGAAACAAAGGAAGGTTTATCACAATTCCCATTTCCCCAAATATATTTCATAAACGTGAGTGGGAGCTCACATTATTCCATTCTTACTCTAAAAGTGATAGCTTCAGTTTCAGTTTTATTAATATATGATTTAAATTTTTGTTTCTGTTGAATTGAATGCAGTAACTGTGGAAATTGAGACATTACCCTGGCAGTGAAGTCCACAGCAGCTCCTCTGTTCAGCAGCAGCGTGGAGACGTTCACGTTACCATAGTGAGCCGCAATGTGCAGAGGGGTGAACCCACTCTGTATGAGACAGACAAGGAGAGACGGAGGAAGGAAGGAAGGAAGGAAGGAAGGAAGGAAGAAAGGAAGCAAGAAAGGAAGGAAGAAAGGAAGCAAGAAAGGAAGGAAGATGAGATTTTTCTGGAGCAGATAAAGGAAGAAACCTGACTCTGCTGAAGCTGCATAATGATGAGGCATCATGCTGAAAAAAGAAACCAGACGTGGTGAAAGAAGAAGCATAAAAAAATTAGCATGAACCAAAAATAGCACATGCAATAAATAATGCATTTAAAGACTTTGTAATTCTGCCATGCATGGTGAAAAAATACAACAAAGAAACTGAGAAAAAGAAACCACGAAAAGGTCAAAATAAAAGAATCACTAAACAACTACGCACTGTGTATTTGCTTGGACGAACAAACGGACATTTATATGTAAGCTGCATGTATAGATATTTACGGTACACAATTGTAGGTGGGCTCAATCCTTACCTTCCCATTCTGATAGACGTGGTGCAATTTAATTAAGAAACAGAGTTAACTTAAATATTGATTTGTTGTTTCAAACAATGATATCAATGTGCTCAGAAAGGTACATGAAACAGGTTATGCAGAGGAAAAAAATCAATAAATTAATAAAAGAAACTGTCAGAATTTAAGGATATAAATATATCATGCTAAACAATTCTAGATTCATATTATTTTTATTTTAATTAATGAAAAGAGGAATAAAGTAAACAAATACTTGCAATAATCTGCAGTAATAAACATTCTCTAATATCTTTTGTTACAACACACTGTTTTCACTGTCAGCCATGCAGGAGTGTGTATTACAGCCTAGTCAATTGCATGCATTCATTTTAAAAACACATGATTCTGACATGCAGGATTGTACAACTCCTGTTAAAAAAGGGACAGATAAGGACCAAAGAGCTGAAAGAGATGGTCAGAAGTGATAAAAGGTGACGAGTCTGTATACCTCTGTGGTTCTATTGACCATCATCTGGTTAGGATGCGTACATAGAGAAAGGGGAAATAGGGAGTCGGGTTGTTAGGGAAAGGGCTCCTCACAACATTCACACATCAAACACAGGGTAAGTCTGCAAAGTCCACTACACGCCCCCATATCAGTTTCTCCATGCCTGCTCTCCCTCACCTTCGATTGGACGTCGGCGTTGTGGTCGTTCTGCAGCAGCAGCGCAGCCGACTTTGTGTCGTCCTTGCGGGCTGCGATGTGCAGGGCCGGCAGACGAACCTTACCCTTGGTGTCGTGCTCCAACAGCAGGGAGACCACGGAGTTGTGGCCCTGCTGGAGAGCGATGGCCAGTGGAGTGAAGCCATCCTGGATGAGCAGAGAAGAGGAGAACAAGAAAAAAGGAAGAGAAAAAGACTCAAATGTATTTGAATGAAATGATTGAAAGATGTGCATATTGTAGTTAGTGTATTCATTAACCAACCTCTGTTGCGATGCTTTGGTTCCCTTCATTTTCCAACAGGTACCTCACCACCTCCAGGTGATTCTCCTGGGCTGCCATATAGAGTGGAGTGAAGCCATTCTGTAGAAACAATAAATACATTCTAATAACTGAGAATAAAGATAGACGACGTGTCTCCACTTTCTTCCACGGAACAAAAATGAAGCTAAAATATCCTGGACACGGGTGCTGCCATTTTGCATTTTTGACGTTAGAGGAAGCCTGAGTCTGAAAGAAGCGATCAAAGGATGGAGCCCCGGTATCACGGTCCTGTCTGATCTCGAGCAAGTCTCAGTTGTCGATCATGACAGGCTTGGACAAACATCAGTGTGATAAGAAAATCCTCAAATGGCAGAATTCGTCTTTTTGAGAAAAATATATATATATATTATATAAAATATGTCCCATCCACTAACATGGAGGTGGGGTTTAACTTTACACGACCTGTACAGCAGAATCAGAATTAGAAGAATCATTTATTAACGACCACACAACCAAGTTGGTGGAATTATTTTTCGATAAAGAATGAAAGAGCTCATCTCAACAGAAATAATAACAAAGATATAGAAAAAAAACAGTGGTGACGTTACACAAGGACACTAGACAATATATAAACAAGACAATATTACACACAGTAACACAACTGCAGAGTATTAAAGTGCATGTGCACTGTGGTATTTGCAGAGAGTTCAGACTCCTAATGGCAGAGGGGGAAAATCGTTCTAATACGGAAAGATTTGGTGAATAAGTCTGCCACCAAGGAGCCACCAGGAGGCGATCAAGATGGTTTTGGCTTCATCTTTGGAAAGCTGCCATGTTGTTCATATACAGTCTAAGATTTACACACGAACACATTTGATGGAGATCATTGTCTTGGTGTTTTATATATATATATATATATATAGAGAGAGAGAGAGAGAGAGTATATATATATATATATATATATATATATATATATATATATATATATATATATATATATATATAGACTGCATATATATATATATAGACTGTATATATAGTTTGATTTAGCTTCACTGAAATGCTTCTCACCTGTGACTGAGCGTTGACATCCCCTCCTCTCTTCACCAGTAGTCGTGCTACTTCTTTCTGTCCTGCCAATGAGGCAATATGGAGGGCGGTGTTTCCTTTCTGCAGAGAGAACTAGGATTAGGGCCTCCAGCCATGTATACATGTGTATGGTTAAATCATCTGATGTGACTGCGTCTTCCTTCTTTTGACCATGTGATTGTTTTTATTTTCAGAATTTGTAAGTTACTGACTATTAATACCAAAGATCATGCTGAAGTCAAACCAAGGACATGGACAGGAGGGTGACAGATTCCCTGTTAGCTGTTTACCGTCTCTCGCTGATAAACCTGACACATCAGAGTCAAAACACAAACAACCCTCTCTCCACTGAGGTTAAATACCTATTTAAGATGTAATGTGAAGTCGCTGTGACCTGTTTCAAAGTGAAGGAACACACTTTATGTCTTGTTATAAGAATCTCAAGTTAGATTTAAAAAAAGTAAGAATTCTAAAAACAGACACAAAACATTTTTTTTGCACCCTCATACCCAACACCAACAGCCTCATGATTCAGGTTTCTCATTTCAAGTGAGAAGTGTTGATTTCACAGTATTTCACAACTGATGCCCCTATACAGTATTACATTCCTTTTTCTTTTTGTCTTTCAGTCTCCCTCTTCCTTCCTCCTCCCTTCTTTTTTTCTGCCCACATCTCCTTTGAGTCCTTTGGGCTCAAGATCAAACTGTGCTGAGGACAAATCTGGATGCTTGCAAAGCAAAATAAAAATATGAATCTGTGTGTGTGTACCTTGGTAGAGGAGTCAACAGGTGCTCCTCTCTCCAGCAGCTCCTCCACTAAATCTGTGTGTCCCTCCTTTGCTGCCAGGTGCAAAGCATTCAGACCATTCTGGAGAGAAAACATCAATAGCATGAATCAGAAGAGTTCAACAAAACAAATGTGCTTCACCGATTATTGCAGCAGTACAAATGGAGTTTTATGACAAACATTAATGCCCAGGCCACAGAGATTGGGTAATACTCATGCTTGCATTATATATTACAGGAAGCACAATATACAGGGTGTGGCCTTAAAAACAACAATCCAGTAAATTAAAATAGAATATTCCTGCAATAAATGCTTATGAATATAAAATAATTGTGAATTATGAGGCAACATTTCAATGTATTCTATTGTATTATAACATGTATTATTAATATAACAAGATTAAAAAGTTTTATATGTGGTGGAGGTATATCAATATATAACAATACTAGAACAATTCAATGCAGGATGATTTAGTTTCAATTAATATATAATTATTGATTTAATATTGTGCATCCATATTATGTACCCAGCCTAAAATGACATATTATGGCACCAACATTTAGAGAAGACGACTATTTAGAAAAGGTAAAGAAAAAAAGAGAAGGTAATCACAAACCAGAGTAGTAGCATCAAAAATAGAGATAAATTATTATTATTAGAAATGTCTTCAGACATCAACATTACTCTCAAGTACAGAAAGTGCTGTTTCAGTCAGGCAGGTGTGATCAGAACATCTGAGGCCTCGGATCCATCAACTACAGCTACAGGTCATCACAACACAATCTATACAACACATATGTGAAAATGCATATTACATATACTGGACAAACACAAACAAGAAATCACCTCATCCTCCTCCTCTTCCATTCTGCGCTGTGTCTCTCTTAAACCCACCAACTAGGGGAGCACGTCACCGCAATGAAACCACACCTCGTTTTATCCTTTCTGCTCCTTTTCTCAAACCAAGCCTCAGTCTCTCTCTCTCTCTCTCTCCGTCTTCTTCTTTCCTCTCTGTGCCTTCTCTTCCTTCGTATGCTATTCTCTACATAAAAGATTTCTAAGTGAGTTTCTAAATTGTCCGAGTTGGACTGAGAAGTGATGGAGTGGCAACGATCACCACAGGTCCTCTGCCTCCTTCCTCTGCAGCGGAAGCGTCTGTGTCTCTCTTGACCCCCTTTGCAAGTTCTCTCTGGGTTGGCTTAGAGAGAGGAACTGTTGATCCTCTAGATGGAGGAACTGCTATGTTGCGAACAACTCTATCATTGCCCCCCCCCACACACACTCACAAACACACACTCTCACTCTCTCTGTCTCCGGGTTGCCAACTGCCAAACAGCCAAAGGGGTATCATGTTTCTGCACAGTCATAGAGGGTATGTGGGACGTAAATACACACACACACACACACACACACACACACACACACACACACACATATAGATACACATATTTAGAAGCTATACAGTAAATGTCAGCCTTTTAAAAAGATAGACAAAATGAGGTCATTCCTAAGAGGCCAAAGTTTGTGAGTCAGCATCTGGTCAAGTAAATGCAGATACATATATATTATATAGATATAGATAGACTAGAGCTTTAATTAACAACCATTAGGCAGTTCATTAACCATTACTATATTTAACTGATTCATTTATTATTTAGTCCATAATTTGTCAGAGAATTGATCACTTTCCCGAACCCAAAGTCTTCAGACCGTTTAAAAGGAAAAGAAAAAACAAATCTTTCACTTTTCAAAGTAAATCCACAGTTTTACTTGATAATTAAACTTTAACAATGAATCAATAAACAAACTGTTTTTGTTGTTGCTGTTGTTGATGATCAATAACTGGTTAATACACTTGGTTAAGCACTTTCGTGAACATCATCATTACTTTCTTAATCACCATCACTCAGGTTGTGTGACGTTACACTTAGTTGGAAACGCACACTTTCGGTTCTTAGCTCTAATAATAATGAGTCCGTCAGTGACATCTCTACTGCAGCAGATGAAATGAAACAACTTTCAAACATGAGACCAAAACCTCTTTGCCGCAGTCCGAGAACATGCAGGAAGTTGAGTTTCAGTTTGATGCGACAGCTCTGAAATGGTGAACTCACTGACTCAGCAAAAAAATTACACAATCTTATTAAGAGTGTTTCAATCACATTTCAACTGTTGTGTGTTCCAAGAGAAATGAGCAGAGAAACACACATATACACGCACTGTCACACAAACTGATCTGAACCTCCATCTCCTCTGAGCTGCAAGGGAAAGCTTCATTTAGCTAATGGACGTACAGCCCAGCACAGTGATCCCTGCATGGCAGCCTGCAGCTCCGCCTGTCATGGCTCCGTCCAGCGCAGATTAATATCCCTGCGCCTGTGACCACTGACCTTTGTTGTAATCACACGTGGTAATAAAGGGAGCTGTTTTATAGGTCCAGGTGTCAGAGGGGGTGAATGTCAAGAGGAAATAATGTAAATGAGTGGAGATTAAAAAGTAATATCACTCACCAGGGATTAACATTTGGGTAGATTAGAGGGGAAGTCCTCTAACTGTGAGGACATGAAACTACAATACAAGCACTCGTTTAGGACAAATCCTATCTCACAAACACATAGGTGAATTTCTACAATTTGTAATTCTAAAAGAAATAGATCTTGTATTATAAAAAGAAAAAAACATGTATACACAGCCTATAATCTGGGAGATGAAGACACAAATATGTGAGTCAGGGAAGGATGACTTGACTGTTGGTTTGTGAGGGTGTCTCTCCATCGTCCTCTTTAACTAACTTGGACAGCTGACTGTCCCTAGCGTCAGACTCTGGCCCTGACCACCCTGTGGCTGCTTTCTAGGATCAGACTCCTCTGTTATTAATGAACAAGCTGCCGAGGCCAACACTCTGAGTGACTTGCAGATTTACAGATACAGAGTTCATTTTGTGCATGATATCTGGATATCTGGTGACATAGAAACATATAAATAACATATGTAAGTCAAACATACTGATATCATACTTTAAACTACTACTATAACTGTGAAAATATGATGTTATTCCCACGCAACTTGTTTATACCTTCAGTTTTTATTTCAGCCAAGTGATGTCACTGCACTGACATACTTGAATAAACCCACAAATTCAATAAGTGCCTGGATACGTATACTTCTGCAGATGAGTGAGATATACTTCTAATTAACCAGAGCACAAATTTCAGATTATTATCAATTCATATTTGTTGATGCTCTTATCATCAGAGCACTGACTCTATACTGACTGACTGCAGTGCTATACAGTAGATAATGGCTCTGTGGAGTGCTCTCCCACTGACTGACTTCTGATCCACTTATTAGCTTGAGAGCAATTTTGGGAATAACAGATAACATAAACCTTTGACTGCCCTCAGCTTCCTATCATTGGGCTGTTTGTGGAAACCAGTATCTCCTTGAATTACCATTAAGATTAAAATGTGTGTGTGTGTGTGTGTGTGTGTGTGTGTGTGTGTGTGTGTGTGTGTGTGTGTGTGTGTGTGTTTTATAGTCAACAGCTTTAGATCATAAGAGCGGGCTGTGTTCATCTCACCTGACGCCTACAAAATGACATTTACTCTATTATGGTATTGCCATCTCTCTCTCAGACAAAGTCAAACACACACACACACACACATACACACTTAGTGATCACATTGCTGGGATTTAAATGTGAAAATGTCACTCGCATATTCAGTCATCTGACAAGGGCTCAAATGTGATCATCTGACCCCTGACAGATACTATGAAGGGCAGGGATCTCCAGTTGCAGTGGGGTGGGGGGGCATGTGTGTGTGTGTTTGTGTGTGTTTGTGTGTGTGTGTGTGTGTGTATGTGTGTGCGTGTGTGTGTCCCTCTTGATGCACAAATTAAAAGCCATGGTGTCCATGATAACAAATAAGTGGCATGTGAGAGCAGCTGGAAATTCCTGTCTGCCTACCAGGCGTATAAACAGCCACTCAGAACAACAGCAATGACACATTAGAAACTACGAGGAGCTGGCGATCGGCACAGAGTCTTCCTACCTTGTGACTGCTGTAAATCACAGTGATATAGATGGGCCAGGGGGGCTGGGCTGTACAGAGCTGTAGGGGGACATGTCTTCTGCACACTCCCAAATCCCTCTTCCACAGTGGAATGTGAGGGTGGGTGTGTGGGGGGGTGAGAGCAGCTGTCAGGGGGAACCTTCAAGTGCAGCTGAGATTGGAGGGAAGAATGGGTGTGGTGGAGGGAGCGGGGCAGTGGCTATGATGTTGTGTTAACACATGTTTGTCTGCCACAAACCCACAAACAGTGACACATTACACATTAATGATGATTTATACATAATGTGTCACTTTACAAACTTTCCCCTGTTTGTGGAGATTCGGTTCAGACACACATGAGTCAAGTTGTAACACAATTTCATGTTGACATGTTGAAAAATGCTGCTCCACCCATTCTAACCACAAAATCTTGCACACAACTTTGACACAATCACGGTGTGTGAATAACTCAACAATGTCTGTTCCCAGCATTCGAATAATGGATGCAGTTTACAGACAAATGCTCTACGACATCTAGAGGTATGGTAGAGCAGCACAGGTTTGCTACATGAAGTGAAAGAATGTTAAATAGCTACAGGTTCTGTTGGGAGGAAGTTCTCTTACCTGGTTACAGGTGCTGATATCTACTCCATTTTTCAGGAATTCAAGGACTTTGTCGATGTTTCCCGCCCGGGCAGCTCGAAGGAAACTGGTGTTACTGTCGGACTGGAGGGATGAGACAGAATGAAGACTAATATTAGTAAATATATATTCATATATATAGATTTTTTATCCATCCAAAGATTATCTATATCGCTTATCCGTATATCGCAGTAGAGCTAATCCCAGCAGACATTGTGCGGAGGTGCGGGGTACACCCTGGACAGGTCACCAGGGAATATCAGAGACAAACAACCTGTCACACTCAGATTTGCACCTATGGACAATAGCAGTCTCCAATTAATCTGACCCGATCTGCATGATTTTGGACTCTGGGAGAAAGTCGGAGTACCTGCAGAAAAATCATGCAGGAACAGGGAGAGTATCTAAACTGCCCACAGAAAGCCCCTGGATTTGGGATGCCAGATAGACTCTGGAACCCCATGCATTGATACTACAGTCATCTGTAGCAGGTTCAACTCTGGCTTGCAACCATTCGGTCTCTTCTGTCAAATAAAGACAATCAACCCTCTTGCTTTGAGGCACCATGCTAACCACTGCACCACCACATTAACCATGTTTTGTATTTCATTTTGAATTAGGTTTTAGTTTGATTAAGGTTCAGGTCTATTGTATCCCCACATGTGGTGGGAGATCACATGTATAAAGAAAATGCTGAGGATTAATTCAGAACATACTGGCATTTAGGTCATACTGTATTTGTTACACAAAGAGGATTGTGCTTATCTTTTACCCAGCACGTAAAAACCAACTATCTCACTTTTGTTTTATAGCGCAACAGAGCTTTTGCCATTTCATTATTTTGTAGTTTGACATTGTTCTATTTATGTATAACAAATGATTAAAGTTTGTTTAGAGACATGAATGAAGTAGCATGTTTAGCATGGCTAAAATACAGAAGTCAGAACTTCAGAACAATAATCTGTCTGAGCACATATTTCTAAATTTAGCCACCAGACATCTAGGCTGCACAGGCAGCTACAACACACACACACACACACACACACACACACACACACACACACACACACACACACACACACACACACTTGCATGTAGTGTTTAATGACTCACTGAATTCAATGAAAGTTTTACACTAAACTCCTGGAGAATGTTGACCTGGTTCTGTATGTAACAGGAAAGAAAAAATGATCCAAGGGGCCTTATCTTCTGCCCTGGATTCAATTTCAGCTTTTAACTCTCCTCAAGACAACCCGAGCCCTCCTCAAAGTGTTTACTGTAACATAACTCACAGTGGTCACCAGAAATATCCCTCCAGCAAAGAATGGCAGTTTAGAACAAACAGACTTTAGAGATAAATAATAAAATCTAACTGTAATACAACACAATTATGAAGAATATTCTTTTAGAGGACATTTAAATCCAGTTTAAGAGTTATCATTATCAAAGCTGAGAGCATAGTGAGACCACAGCAACATTTAAAAGTTCAATAAAAATGAAACCCCACTAATATAAAACAGTTTTGCATGATTATTTTTATTTGCATGCTGCCCAGATGCACTGATAATAATGTATCTGTTATTCATTTTGAGTCAGAATAAAACACAAATGCACCCAAGAGCTCTAATTAATGTGAATAAAAACTTTGTTTTGTATGAATAATGCTCAAAAACCCAAATTTATTCTGTTTATTGCGTCTTCAAAGAAAGAAAAGTAGCAAATCCTCACAAGGACAGAATGACAGCAGGAACTTATTGGCATTTGTGCTTAGATAATGACTCATATGATTCATTAATAATCAAAATAATAGTTGCTACATGAAGGTGAATTATCTCATGATTGATAATGAGCTTTGGGTCAAATCTTTCTGTAGAGACATCAAATATTTAGATATGTAGCTTTAGTAATAATATTTACACAGATAATATTTTCCTGATGAATTCCATTGAGCTACAGTGAGTGGATGTCACAACACTTCAGCAGAGGAGAACTGAGTGTGTGAATTTAACCGTGTTGACAAGAATTTAACCTCTTTCTAATGAGGTTAAGACAGAACATGTTAGTCTGACACCACTGGCTGCTAACGTGCAGGATCAGCACAAACTCCCTGTTGTATGGCTGAGAAAGGTCAAGGGTCAAACGCCTCACGTGAGATGTCACCTGACATGCGCGCGCACACACACAACACACGTCTGCAAAGAAATTATCCTTGAAGAGCACTTTCTTTGTACTTGCAGCACATGTAGCAAACTCCAAACATCATCATAACCTTGTGTCCCCTTCTCCACTTCTTACCAGTGAATCATCAACTTCAGATCCAGAGTCAGCAGATCCATAGTAGTCAGAGTGTTGGTTTAAACTCCTGTCACTCCCAGTGGTCCTTAAAACTCTATCTGATCCACACACCTCACATGTTGCTGCGTTTCCCATGGCCGCTTCTCTTTGCTCTAGGGGTCTTTCCTCTCTTACTTTAAGACTGTATGGTGTTGAACGGTCCTGCAAAGTCCAGTACTTGTAGTTTCTCACTCTGTGTCCACGGATAAAAGCCTCTCCAGTTCACTTCCTGTCATTTGGCTGCATCACGCAATCTTGCAACCCATTAAATGTGTTCTTGTCTTCTGTCCAAACACAATTAATGCCACAACAAAACTCACTTACTTCACTATTACCACCACTCCATCCCCTGTCCACTTTTATCCCTTTGCCCAGCCAAAACTTCTCAGCTTCACATACTTCTGGCTCTCTGTGTGAGAGCCGAGGCCCAGTCTTACTCTCCGCTCTGTCCGCAGCAGAACAACTGCTACCATAAACATTTCACCCTTACTGTCTCTCCGCCTTGGCTATTTTTACCTTTCCTCATTCTCCATTTTATCAAGAAGACAACAATCCCTGCTGAGTGTGTCCAGGGTGGGGTGCACGACAGCTGGGATTGAGTCTGGCGGGAGAGCGCTTGGCCTGCGGTGCTCTCCAGGAACGCCAAGGCTCATGATGGAGTGATACAAGCAGGAGCCTCGACACAGTAGTCAGGTCAAATGTCCCTAACTTTAAAACCTCACACAGATTCCCTTGCTCGTCATTAGAAGAATGTAGAGAATGTGACGTCATGTACACACGGTTCAGAATGTTTTATCTTTATCATAGTTTGCTGAAACACATCCAAAGACAACTCTGCAGTCTAAAGTTAAACTACAGTTAGGCAATGATTTCACAAATGTTTCCCTCAAGTTTTCTAGTAAAGATGTCAGTATTATGTCTGAGTGAGTGAGTGAGTGAGTGAGTGAGTGTGTGTGTGTGTGTGTGTGTGTGTGTGTGTGTGTGTGTGTCAGGTTTTTAGTCATTTGTGTTTTCCCTGCTGTCTCATTCATCTCTCCGCCAAGTACACACTAACAGAGATTGGATTGATTGGAAACCAGCTGTAATCTGTGTTTCTGTACAGGATTTGTGTAGATTGACCTGCAGTTGGTCATGTGATGAAAGCTACTGGATTATACACTGTACTGTGTCTATTTCCATGACATTGAATTCAGTATTCAAGATTTTCTTTAATTCTTTTCAAACCATTGTCAGTATTAAACAACCAAATATCCTCACACACTTCCACTGGATGAGGATGGTGCCCTTTATAACTTACATATATATATATAACTACAATTCAAGTGACTACAAAGTGCCATTTTGGAGGATGATTTCCCAGAATCTGGCACCCCAAAAGTTTAGAGTTAGTAAATGATTTATTCATAAAAATAAACGCTAGTGAATACATGCTTATAGACAAAATAATTGGTGCCTTATCAGACAGAGAAATTAATTTCAGATTGACAGTGAAAAGTATAAAACCTCATAACCACCATTTTAAAGGGTAAGATGCTCAATGTTAAGATAAGATCAGATAAGATAAGATATACCTTAACTTTTATTCCCTGGTTCTAACTCCAAGTAACCATAGGAACAAATGTAAAATTTTGTAGCTTTGATAAACCAGTGAATTTTTTCTTTAGGAGTGACATTGCAGAGATATTAAAAATCAATGGACTATATTTTTCCCCATGAGTTTTATTTCCAAAGATTTGCTCCATAAAAGTTCCAATACCACCTGCATGTAAACCCCCCACTGAGCTTGAGCCCATGTCTGTCACCAGCTTCACCATCATCCATCTTCCTCCTGTGACATGATAAACCATGCAGGAGGACAGCGGGACAGCAGCCGCAGCAGCCCCAGGAAGGGTCGACCACATTCACATAACCCACACTCACACTGTCCAACACCAACTCTGACCAACAAAGTCACATTGGTAGTAAGCATAGTACACCACACAAATCATAAATCGTGAATGTGATTTTGCTTTACCTGCCGCTTTCGCTCAGCTCTCTCTCGCCTCCGCCGCCTCCTCTCCCTGGCTTTCTGAAGAGCCATGTACTCTGGCTGTTGCTCGAGCTCTCGAGCTTTCTTCAGGTGGGCTGCAGCGTGAGCCATGACCTCTCTTTTCTACCTCTGTCTGTTTCAAAAAATTATATTACAAGGTGCGGAAGTTTTCCTTTGTTAACTTATAAATGTCGTTCCCTGACATGCACCTCTATTCTCCTGCTGACTTCAAGTGTTCACCCAAACTCCTCAACCAAAAACACAATATGATACAAAATTAACAAAAACTTCCTAAAGAGGTATTTTAGCTCCAAAAATGATCATCTGGAAACAGACTGGTGACTTGATTATGTGTCTTCTGTTCTTGGAGTCATGTCCGCATGAGGCCAGGACACAGCTACTGGATGGTCATATTCTCACAAAGGTCCACACACCAAAAATGAAAGTCACATTCGTGTGTGCAACATGAAACAGGGCAGGAGAAGATGAACTGAAAAAGGATGAGTGAATGACGAATGTAAGTCCCAACCACTCACACACACAAATACCCACGGGGAACAACCCAGTCCAGATGCACATGAAAACCCCACTCAATGTGAACAGATGTAGCTACAAAGCATGTGTGCATGTGTGTGTGTGTGTGCGTGTGCGTGTGCGTGTGTGTGTGTGTGTGCCTTTGTGTGGCATGTGCACGTGCATGCATGTGACTGTTAATGAGTGT